AATATAACATTGTATAATATTATATTATTACAATATCGTAATATTACAATATTATAATATCAAAATATTATATACTTCACTTCAAGCACGAAAATCACAACGAGAATGCGCTCATTTGAACTATAAATTGTCACTGATAACAACGTGCTGAATATGTGCGTATATCAATACTATGACTATATCAAATTTCGTTAATCGGCAATTAAATTCTTTATTTGTTCGTCGCGATCATTGATTCGGAACGCTGAAGGAAGACGTTAACGATCTCTAAATAATAATTCCGTACACCCCGTACACGGTATTCCGATTGATCCCCGTTAATGTATCGCTGCAGAAAGTCTCGCGAGGATTATCGCAAACGATATCATAAAGACATAATCGGTACTGGCATAGAGGCGTCAATACCCAATTTCAGCAAGATCCAGGCGACCTGAGGCATCGTCCTCGTCGTGCCAACGTCGAGCTGCGTCGAGGAAGGTCTAAGCTCGCAATGTATGATTCCGGATCCGCTAGTTCGGTTTCAGTAATCAATACTAATTCCATAGCTAGAATCGAATCAATAGATAAAATAAAAATAATACTAAAGTCGGAGACTTCCTCGAGCGAGAATCGACGCGTCGACGTGACGCTGCCTCAAATGTCATCAGATCTGTTCCTTTATTGTCCTATTCAGGAAACGCGGTCGCCGCATATTCGCGAACGTCTTCCTTTCGTGTTCGATAAGACTGATCGATCATGTTGCGCGCGACATCCGCGTTCCTCGAGTATGCATACAAGTTTTGCACATGACGATGCGAGGTGACAGGATCCAGAATGTCTTTCTCTTCTTGAAAAATATCCTTCGAACGCTTTCGTTCTCCTGATATTCTTCGAATATTCGGAGAATATTCTCTGAATGTTCTTAGGAGTCTCAAGAAATTCTTGGAGATATTCCCGGATCTTGAGATATCCGCAAAAAGAAAAAAACATTTTTGGAATAATCTTCGTAAAGAGAGTTTTGAGAAAATATTCTTCTCTTCTTCTGAAGGAACGTCTTCAACTCCCACCACCAATCGTGCATAAGTACTTACATGTCACGTATGAAAACGTACATGTATGATGTGTGAATATGTGTGAATATGTGTGTGTGTGTGTGTGTGTGTGTGCGCGCGCGCGCGCGTGTGTGTGTGTTCGTGTGTATATATATTTTTTATTTATACATATTTTTTTGGTTGTAAGTATACGTCTATGTGGATACTTTCTGTCGTCTAATTTACACGTATTAATCCCTCGATACCATTCTTAATTTATCGTAATACCCATTAACAACGCGGTATATGTGTCGGATTATCGTGAAGGGTTTCGGTGCCGATATCATTCGCCGTCCCTAAAATTCAATATGTACGTTTTAAAGTACGAGCGCACCTCTTTTCTTTTTCTCTTTCTCGCTCTTTTTTTCTCCCTTTCTTTCTCTCTCGTTCATTCTCCCTGCACGCTAATCACGGGTCTTTAGTGCATTTCGTTATGCCAGCGCATTCTCACCTTGCAACTTCGGTCTTGAACACTCCATCGTACTCATTCACTCTCTTTCTCTCTGTCATTCTCTCTCTCTCTCTCTCTCTCTCTCTCTCTCTCTCTCTATCTTTTCTCATACACACATATAGATTCTCTTTCGCTCGTTCAGTCGCTCTCTTTTGTATCTTAAGTAACGTTAAAAATAAAGTCTGCTATATTGGCGAGGATGCTCGACCCTGAAAACAGGTTAACACGCGGCGGAATGATTTTTTAAATTTTTTTTTGGGGGGAAGGGGACCGTGGACGACGTTACAATGCAATTCACAAATCCATCCTTTCTCTCTTTCTCTCTCACATAATACTCCGTATGTATAGTATGTATACATATATTTTTTGTGTACGTATGTATGTATATATGTATATATATTGTATATATACATATATATGTATATACCCGACATATCTTAATTGATTTCTCTTTAGCTGCTAAGACTTACTCGCTACGCGCGTGAATCGCTTTTTCTCTTCATTTCTTCTTCCTTTTTTTTTTCTTCTTTTTTTTCAAATGCGGGTCTTATAAGTCTCTCTCTCTCTCGTACTGCTCTCGCAGTCCTCGCGTCATCCGGCGATCGTCAATGGCCTGACGCGCATCACGACGGTTTTGTATAATAATAAAAAAATGGGAGGATGTGGGAGAACGGTGGTGGAACGATGGGAAACAACGTAACGAGCGCGCCTACGCGCGAGCGTTCGATTGCGAACATGGTTACGTGTAATTATAGTGACGTGGTATGACGATAAATATCATTACATTATATACAGAGTCGATTATCTTTCCGGATCGTCTGCGCCGCCGTCCACGCGGAAACAGGAGCGACAGAATCGAAGAATGAAATCTCGATCGCTGGCGACTCTCGAAGAGGCGAATTACGTCTCGTAAAACCGGCGATGTTAAAATTTAGCCGATGGATGCTATAAAATGGAGACATCTGAGAGGCGATGCAGTTCGACCCACCGTTCTTAAGTTTCTCAGGCACGCTTACAACCTCGATTATTTAATTTCACTTTAGAACTTCTTCCTTCTCTGTGTGTACTTATATGTACAAATTGCTATGGAATGGCAATCACTTTATTTTATACGTAAATACTCGCAATATGAAAGAATTTCTTCTTCATGTTTATGAACAAATTTTTACGTATAAAAATGAGTATCAAAATTCTTTTGTTTAACTTCAAACGAATGCTTTTAGGGATTTCCTATTAAGATTAAAGCTGAATGTTACAATTATAACGTTAGCTGTAATAAAGAGAAAGTTAATAAGAAATGATGTGAAAGAGAAAGCTAATAACAGATGTGTATAGAACGTACAACTAAAAAAAAATGAATTTAAACTAGTCATTAAGTGAAGTAAGCATCTTGGAGCTCGGAGACTTTTCATTATTCATTCTGTTATTCCAGTCTTTCACGTTCGACATTCCATTACGAAGAACTAGAGCGGTTATTCGTTAATAATTTATTATTCGCCATTGAATTATTCGTTTTCAGAGCGAAAACTCGCCTCGACCTTCTACAACTTTGGAATTATCCGCGTTACGATTGTCAAAATCAAAATTATTTACCATAAATCGGGCGTTCTTATCTTAATTTAATGACACATTCTTTATCTTAACTTTAATATTATGTCGTTATTTTTTTTTATTTATTGTTTAGCAATTTAAATACGTCGACCGCCAAAAGACGCGACGAAGGAGGAAAAGATACTCGGATATTCTATCAGATTCTCCAGAGCAAGATGGAAGCCCGATCGAACATCTCGCTTGCTCCCATAGAAATGGTGCAATCGACTGCGTCGCACACATGCACGCGAACATGGATTTCCTGCTGGAAGACGAAATGAGGAAGAGAGCGGAAGGAGAAAGCGCAGTCTTCGCGAATTTCCACGTGGGCGGCGGATGCATGTCCCTCATATATCATTATCGTAGTAATCGCAATAATCGAATAATTATCTCTGTGTATTACGCTTGGTGATGATAGGTGATGTCGTTGGTGATGATAATGGTAGTGGTGGTGGTGGTAGTGGTGGTGATGGTGGTGGTGGTGGTGGTGGTGGTGGTGGTGGTGGTGGTGATGATGGTAGTGGTGGTGATGATGATGGTGGTGATAGTAGTAGTGGTGGTGGTGGTAGTGCCGATCGCGTTTAATAGCGGTGGCGGAACTTAACGATATTATCGTTAGCGAGTCAACCTCGATATTATTCAACTTAAACGTGATTATTAAAGTTAGGTTGTTGAGCAGAATTGTTGATTTCTATCAGAGACTTTCGGGAGGCGCTGTGGCTCGAGCTCATGTCCGCAAACTCGCCAGCCGACTTACCCTTACGCGGCAACGTAGTGGCCTCCCCCAGGGAGGGTAGTTCCCGTGGCTTCCAAATCGGCGAACCTATCGTGATACATTAAGAATTAATGCTTTACGTATTTTTTTTTAAGAGAACAA